TAATCATCTCTTTGTGGGGATGAACCAGGTATAATAATCCCAGCAGGTCAGGTAAACGATTCGTAGAGAAAAATAAAACAAGTAAAAAAAAAGTAATTGTAAAGTGGCTGAATTACTCAAAAAAAGTGCTCCTAATTCATTACAATTACTCATTACTTGGATGGGGATTGAATTACAGTAATGAATTACTTGTAATTGAATTACTTGTAATTGAATTACTTGTAATTGAATTACTTCCAACCACTTATAGCAATCTACCATGCGATCTGAACTATTGGTTGACTACCTACCGAATAACAAACTCAAAAAAAGACTTGAGAAAGTTAGGCAGTGCGTTTGTGACAGGGGACGACAAGTATATTGCATTTTTTTAAATTTTTAAAAATTCTGATATTTCAGTGCACTGAATTAATTAACTAAGTCTGGAAAAAAGGTTGAAGTTATCGAAGAAATGAGGCCGGAAGTGACTTCTGCACCCCGAAATCTATAAGAAAAAGTATTTAGTTAAATTTCGAAAATCGTCGAAAATCGGTCGCAATATGCTAGTGAGTAGGTACTTGCCAAATAACCTACCCTCTAGAAAATAAAAGGCGGGTAGGCCAGGCTAGTATTTGCCAAAATAAGACTCACTTTGGCAAATGATCTACTCTTCTAAGAAAAGGTACTAGCCCCCACTAACCCTTTATTTTCTTAGAAGAGTGGATCATCTGCCAAAATTTTCTTATTTCAACAAGTACTAGCCCCGCCCTTACTTTCTTTTAGAGGATATATCATTTGTAAAAATCAGTCTCATACTTGTCAAGATAAGGCTGATTTTGGCAGATGAAAAATTCTTTATTTTCTTAGAAGAGTAGGTCATTGGACTCATTGGCCAAAATGAGTCTTATTTTGGCAAATACTAGCCCGGCCCACCAGCCTTTTACCTTCTTATTAGAGGGTGGGTTATTTGGCAAGTGCTAGTCATCATCATCAATCATCACGAGACGGTAAAATTCACGAAATTGCAAACCCTACTTGATGCACAATCTTTTATAATCAATTAATCAGTTTGTACACTGAAATGTATTCCTGAGCTTGGTCGTCATAATTAATGATAAATTTGACTCACAACCTTCCACAGTCATAAAAAAAACACCTAAAGGTTACTCTTGTTTTGCAAAAATAGGTGAGTGTTGACAAAAAATGTTTTGAAATCCACAAAGACGATTTGATATTGTAGGCGACCGTGAGACCACAGCATAGATAACAATCAGTAGAGACAGCTCGTGTCGGCGCCTTTGTTCTTTCTGACCCGAATTTTAAGCCGTCATGGGTGGTCGTTGCCTAAACTATTCCTAGATGTCGCCACCCAATTTAAAAAGTATCACTTCATTTACAATTTCAAAAATTGATTCGTGTACGCAATTTATTGCAGACTGTCTAGTTTGCTCAAATCGTATAATCGTGAATCGCAATAAGAAAAAAGAAAAGTCCATATTTAATTTATAAACACGATGATTTGTTACAGTTTTTATTTTATTCATAACCACCGTTGTTGTTCGTTTGCGACAACTTTTTAAACAAAAAATGTGTTATGTTTACTATCTTTTCCAAGAATTCCAAACACGAGGGAGAGAATAAGGCGCACAACAGGGATCCGGTATGAAAATTCATCGGACAAAGATTTTACCTTTTATTGTGAAAATTACATTTTTATACTATTTGTACAATTCTACCGGAAAAGCAGTCTTAAACAAGCAAAACTGGCAAAAATATTGTAACAAAACTGCCAAATTTCAAATATTTTAGACGTCAGTTGGGCGCCCTCATTCGGTCATAATGCGAACGACCACCCACGAAAACGGGTCACGAAAAACGGCGAGCTGTCTCTACTGATTGATATCTATGCTGTGGTGAGACCGTATATTAAACGGTTTTTTATATATGCAGCAGCTACGCACTAGTGTATTATTAGTTGCATAGCATGTATTTATCAACTAAAAACTCAAAAGAAGTAGTGACCAAATTTTTATAAACAATGTCGTGAATTGTCTTTGAATTTTGGAGAAAATGCTTGCTGTAAGCTCAAAACAGATATTTTTATTCAATTTTGTACAGTTTTTTATTCTTTGCCAGTTTACAATGATCGTGCCGACGCTCACATTGTCTCATTGTTGTATAAAATTATATAGACCCTATGTTACAAGAGGCTGATCCTGGATTAACAACCAGGTAGATTCAAGAGACACTGTTACTGCATCTGCCAACATAGTATTACGAAATACACCCTTACGCTACCCCGGTACGACGCCTATGGCCGTTGAGAACTCTCTGGTGTTACCCCGATGATGATTCATCCTCAATGCGACTGAGCGACGGAGCGCTAAAGAAACGCCTGGAAACGGAAGTCGCGAATGGGGGTTCCGGAGGAGTCTAGAAGCGGTGATGTAGGGTTTCGAGAAGGACCGCGTGCTGTTTAAATAGAGTCCACCTTTAGGGAACGGATTATTCAGCCAGTGGAGTCAAGAGCGTCCAGTGAAATTCGCCGGAATAATTTTTGTACATAATCGCTGCAATAGTTAGTCCTGTAAAGTCGAGTTATTAAGAAATAAATGATTGAGTTTTACTTACGCCAATTTTAATCACCCGTACAAGGTATATATTTACCGCATCTCCACCCTATCGCCAGGAGCTCAATCATAAAATTATCATAAAATTTTATGAAGTACATCTTAAAGGAAACAAGTGTACCTTTTGTTCTTTAATGTTTATGTCATTTTGTATATAAATGCATTTTTAAAAACCATTTTACTTTTTTGTTTATTTTAAGTCTGATTGTAATACGCCTATGAAATATGCCCTAAACAATTTCCTGGCGCTCTGTTTGCAGTAAAGTGCACTTATGGTAATAAAAGTGTTTATGTTCTACTTTGAGAGCCATAAAAGCGATTGACTTTATTTCTAAATATTATAGAATTACAATAAAAAGAAGATGAAAAGAAACTTTTTTTCATTGATTCATCATCACATCACTGTCAACTGAACTTTTCCATTAGACGAAAAATGTCTTTGTTTTATTGTCTATTTTAATTTTAGAACTGGAGGCACTGCAAATGGTGCGTTGCATAGGACACAGGATGGGACGATTTATTTAACGAATTGTTGGTTGCAGCGCCATTCAAGATTTTTGGTGCAGATGATGCAGAGGCAGATCCAAATTGTCGTCAGTGATATTTTTAAAGGCATGTAGAATAAAATAGATGTTTTTTTTTATATAAAATTTAAAGCATTAAATATGGTTTATGGGTGTAATTCAACTTATTTATTTTGCTTCTGAAAAATTTTCAGTGTGCTTTTATAACCAAAACATCCCGCCAAAATTTGACAGCTGAACAAAATTTTAAAAACCCGCGAAAAATTCAAAATTTGGCGTTGACTGTTTTCGTCTATCAAAATGGAACGCTACATTGTTTTCTTTTGTGACGAAATACGTTTCAGATGCAAAGTGATGAACCCCAAGGTTGGAAAAGTGCCGCTAAATAAAACACAAAATATATCGAGCAGCACCCTCAAATTTCTTATTAATGTAGTTCTTTGTTGCCATATAGTCTAGTCTCAATAGTAATTTACACAACTAGTTCGGGATAGCCTGCTTCCCGCATGAACGCTTGTTTGCGGCACGACCGAAGGGAGTGCCGCATTTGCGTGAATGCGGGAAGCAGGCTCACGAACGTGTTGTGTACAATATTTTTTGCAACGAATAAACCTTTAAACTGAGGAAATTAACTGTGAGTTATTTATAAACAATGGCGCCGTCAACACATCACAATGTTGACACTACGCGAGTATTTTAAGGTTACCATGGCAACGGGAAGTTAAAATGCACGTGTGCGGGAAGTTCGAACTCCCGCACCCTGGTGAATGCACGAAAGCCATCAAAAAAGATCATGAGTGCAAAAAAATCTTTTCACTTGTCGAAATCTTCTCACTCCAACATGTTAATCAAGTATCAAGATGAACTGGCCAAAAGTAAAAAACCACCACTTGTTGATTTCAGTTGATAAAAAAAAAACTCCAATGGTGATTTTCATATTATACCTACCGCTGAAACGTCAATGAACGTCAAATTTGTCATCACGAAACACGCAAGCACAACAAATTAAGTCAATTATGTTAACGTTTGTAGAATTTGAGTTTTCTATCTCACTTTAAAACGTTTTGAAAGGTCAAAACCCTTCTAATATAATTAGTTTTAAGCTATCTTTGTTTTCCCCCCATGTCAAACTTCAGATTTAATTCTACGGTGTGTATTTTCAAGGTAGAATGCAGTGTTGGTGGTTTTTTAATTTTGTCAAATACTATAATGTTGCTAAATAGTCGGCTATCTTCAAAAATAGCTTTTATAATAGCTGGATATTTATCCCGATATTTTCCGACTATCTATTCACTAACAACACTAATTGCAATTGGTTTTATGTATTTATAAGATGTGAATATTATTTTCTACCCTTTTTATTCATGGGAATTATTATTTTTATAAATAATAAAAATTGTTTATTATTATCTTTTTAAATAAATTGGCTCAATAATTGACATTTGCTTTGAAAAAAAAACCATATGTCACTGTCGTCACTGCGGTTGTATGTTGTGAACTTTATTATTAAAATACATCAAATGCAGAGTAAGTTTAAACGTGGTTTAAACAGTATTTATTATCTTTAGCACCAGTTTACGTAAGTATGCTTGTGTTTCTTTCATGTATTCTGAACGAAATTTTAATTCAAAGAACCAAGTAAATTTTTAGGTTATTTTTGTAATTAGTTACACTCGTCATGGATAATAGAAGCCAAAACTAGCAGAGTTCAAATTTGGAAAACTGAAAGTTTCCGTAAGGACAGTAAGAATGAAAAACATGTTTGAATTTTTGAATTCAAATTTCCCGGAGTCCGTGTACGTGCGTCGTCATCGACCCCTGTTTGTTATCATCCATCATGTGGGGTCCTCTGTTGGAGACTGTCTCAAGTGCGTAATTGACTTGCGACCGAGTGGCTGAGCTTCAATCTCCAAATGAAGTGAAAATCTGGGCACTTGGGTAGCCATTTTATCGTTTGATCAGTGGTTTTTAGACGTATTATCGTGGTGTATTATTTACTTTTTGCGTTGCATCTTATCTATCATTCTAATCAGTGGCTGTGACTCAATAGTGCGTCTTCTTTAAGAGCGATTAGATAAAGAAACTGGAACCAGAAATGTGTGTGTACGGATCGTGTTGACACAGGACGAATTCGCGACATCCGCTTTTGCATCCGAGTTCATCCTTGGTGCTTCAGGCGGGGTGTAGAAATCAACTCGAAGCCCTGGAAGGTTTAAAAGTCCAAACCATGGGCAACAATGCCGCTACGGCGAACAAAAAGGTCGATTCTGCCGAGAGTGTGAAGGAGTTCCTTGACCAGGCCAAGGAGGACTTCGAGGAAAAATGGAAAAAGAACCCGACGAACACCGCCTGCTTGGACGATTTCGAGCGCATCAAGACGCTCGGGACGGGCTCCTTCGGCCGCGTCATGATCGTCCAGCACAAGCCCACCAAGGAATACTACGCCATGAAGATCCTCGATAAGCAGAAGGTGGTCAAACTAAAGCAGGTGGAACACACCCTGAACGAGAAGCGCATATTGCAGGCCATCAGCTTCCCGTTCCTCGTCAGCCTGCGGTTTCACTTCAAAGACAATTCTAACCTGTACATGGTGCTGGAGTATGTGCCCGGGGGTGAGATGTTCTCGCACCTGAGGAAAGTCGGACGCTTCTCGGAGCCGCACTCGAGATTTTACGCGGCCCAAATCGTGCTCGCATTCGAATACTTGCACTACCTAGATCTGATTTACAGAGATCTGAAACCGGAGAATCTGCTAATCGACTCGCAGGGCTACCTCAAGGTCACGGACTTCGGATTCGCGAAGCGCGTCAAGGGCCGCACCTGGACCCTGTGCGGCACCCCCGAGTACCTCGCCCCCGAGATCATCCTCAGCAAGGGCTACAACAAGGCGGTGGACTGGTGGGCGCTGGGAGTGCTGGTCTACGAGATGGCGGCCGGTTATCCGCCCTTCTTCGCCGACCAGCCGATTCAGATCTACGAGAAGATCGTCTCCGGGAAGGTGCGCTTCCCCTCCCACTTCGGCTCTGACCTGAAGGACCTGCTGCGCAACTTGCTCCAGGTCGATCTCACCAAGCGCTACGGGAACCTGAAGGCCGGCGTCAACGACATCAAGGGCCACAAGTGGTTCGCGTCCACGGATTGGATCGCGATCTTCCAGAAGAAGATCGAGGCGCCCTTCATACCGAGGTGCAAGGGACCTGGGGATACGAGCAATTTCGACGATTACGAGGAGGAGGCGTTGCGCATATCGTCGACGGAGAAGTGCGCCAAGGAGTTCGCAGAGTTCTGAATTTTTTTATGTGTAAGTAGCCTTGCCATTTCCTCAGGCTATTGACGGACTTCCAGCCCTGTGTTTGTAAGGTTGGCAACTCTGCACCCTGTCACTTCATTTATAGTAACACGGGGGACTCATCGAATCCAATACAAGTATTACGTGATGGAGATTTTAGTGTATTATAATTTTATTGTAATTTTATTTTTTAGTCATTGTAAATATTGTATAATAGCCGGGTTAGGTTGCACTATTTACATTAAATAGTGGGCATTTTTTTTCTTTTTTCTTTAACACACTTAACGAGTGCAGAGTGCCCAATCTAAGCTGTGAATTCGCATTATGGTACAAACCCACCTTTTTAATATTGTAAGATCAAGACCTCCGGCGACAATGCCCGTCTCACATTACTTCCAGATTACTCTGATTCAGTTGTTAGTAAGCTGACAAAGCATTTTTATTTACGTTATTAGGCACCAAACATGTCTCCTAGTCACTACTATGTAGTTACTGTACTATGATTGTTATTACCATTAGTTATATGTATACAAACACAATATAAGTAGTTAGAATGAAATTCTTTCTGGCATTTTATTTTGTTAACAAAATGTTTGACAGCTTAATAATGATTAGGACCTGTACATGTAACATAGACGAGACAACCCTTCACGTGTGTGTAGATAACAAATCCTGTTTGTGGCGAAGCGAATGATCTGAATGATATTTTATTATTTATAAATCCAAAAGAAGCGAAAGATGTTCAAAAAATAACTGTAATGTGCAAATAAAATTATACAGGTGCCCAAGGTCGACACCTCATAAACTCTGGAAATCATAAATTTAACCAATTTATCACCCATTAAAAATAACTGTAGTAATAATTGTAGAAATAAATTTACAGCAAGTCTTGACTACGTCTGAGAAGACGTCTACTTTTATTTTTAAATTCTTTATTTTAATACACATTATGTGGTCGCCATTTTACATTATTTGCTGTAATAATTGTCTGTAAAGCGTAGCCAACAGTAATGTTAATTAAATTGATGCAAACTATAATTAACGTAACAGCTGGCACTTTTTTTAGAACGCAGCCCCAATTTTATCGCATTTTTGACAAATCGATAATATCCATCACTTTTATTGCCATAGGTTGTTGTAAAATTTACAGCATTGATAACTTTAATGATTCTAGTATTGGGACGCTTTGTGTATTTTTCAACTTCAATACATATTCGACGATCGTCTTATTAAACTTACGAAATTTAGCTTTAACTAGCCAAGATTAAATAGGACCGATTTTTAAAATGCGTAGACACTCTTAAATTTCCCTCGTCGTTAGCAAGAGTCTGTGATGAGGTCTTCGCTTTTCATTCCCAGAAAACTGTCGTGCGTTTTGTTGTATTTTTCTAGCGCGGAATTTATATACAGGAAACCAGTTTGTTTGGAAAGTAAAGCCCTCTTACCATAAACCAGCAAAATAAACAAATACGCAAATTTATCCTAGATAAAACTCAGTCATTCATGCTAATTTGGTGTTCCGAGTGGCCATATTTTCGTTGATAAAGTTTATAATAATATTAATAGAAAAGCGTTGCGTAATGAAAAGAGGGAGGTGTTGGGCTAGTTTCGCGAAACAGTTGCAGTAGGATCGACATAATAGTAAACAGATTTCATCACCTCTAAACATGACAACTCTAATAAAATACGTTGAAGTGAAATCTTGAATACCTCATGTGATACTAACTAACAGGGTTTGTCGTAGTGGTATTCAGTAGGTTGAACAGAAAAATCATAGCAAATTAATTTAAAATGTCTTGTAAAAAGTCCAGGTTGCCAGTTATGCAAATGTTAGAAAATTATGATTGACGTGGTGGAAACGAACGTAAAAATTCGGTGAAACTGTTGATGCGATTTCTGATTGGCGAATTTTTTCGGTAAAGTGGAACGAATTGCGTAGGTTTAAAAAAAGTTTCCTCTCGTTTGTGCAACTGGTCATCAAAGAATAAAACTGTCAATTGAATAAATAGGTGACACTTTATAAAAGTAGAAACGGACAGAACGTGTTGCTTTCATTATGTCGGAATACGTTCAATTGGTTTTTGTTTTTTCAACTTTGGTAGAGAAAGTATTTGAATTCGTTTTATGAGTTTAGTAGTTGGTTATTTTTACGTCTGGCTGTAAACATTTTATTATGTATTATTTTTAGGTGATTTATGTATCATTGTTTGGAATTTTACAGTGGTATGAAAACACTATTTTAATCGAAATTTGCTCCTAAATTGTAAATTTAATCAATTCGAATTATAGCTGCGGAAATAATTGAATTTTGTTGTGAACATTTTCGAATTTATCGCTTTTGATTTATCCTTGCGAAAAGAGGGATGTGTACACAAAAAAATCGCATTAAAATTTCGTATTTGTCTTTTATTTCATTATGCTTATTTAATCTCGCACGTCGTGAAAATCTAATTGCACTGTTCTCGTTTCAGCTAGAGGAAAAATTCAGAATTCAGGGCACAGAACACGTAAAGTGATGTTTTTCAAGTGTCTAGTGTTTGCCAGAATCCTCCATCTTAATTATATTTATTGTTGTGCCGAATAAAGTGCTGGTTCTTTTCAATATCTCGGTTTACGCCTTTTTAATTATCGGACGAGTTGCTTACGGCCAGTTGAATCATTTCATTGTGATATTTTCATGTGGAAAACACCAATTGAATCGTGTAAATAATTCGATTGCAATTATTTTTTGAACATTTGTAAGCGTTTGCTTTAAATTTGCCATATATTGTCAATTGTTTAGTTGTTAAGTTGTATTGCGTAAACATTGTTGTTTTATTTATATCGGAAACTATCGTGGGGATGATGTTCATCGTCCACGCTTGAGATTTGTATGTATTTTTAGTGTAGTTTATTTTTACGTTACCTGTGTTTTTGGTGCTTTGCGAAAATAGCTTTATTTCTATTATGAGATGTTGAATACAGTGCAAACGGTGTTTATGTCTTGACTATACTTAGTACATCTCCTCTTGTAGACAAGTATTGGTAATCCTCTCCTTACTTAGCGATTCGACCTCAAAACAATGCAGTGTTTTATAGGACGGGTAGGCGACATTTGACAGTCCAAACTCGCCTCTATTTATAAAACAGACATCTATCTTAAGTATAATAACACTTAATCATTCTCCTACTCCCCTAGAATAACTATTTCGGTTGCATTGTGATTAGGACATTAAGTTGTACAAAGTAGCGCGGTTCAAGGACGATTCAATTCGGGTTTTTCCAGGATGGCATTCGAAGGGGTCGAATCGTATATGCGTCGCACAGCCGACATAGGTTGGATGCACCCTCGATTTTCACGGATTCAAGCGTAAAGTATATGGCGGAATTTATGTTACGGCCGCGTAACACGCCTATCCAGTATTCTGATCCTCGAGAGAAAGGCTAGACACTCGGGTATGATATTTTATGAGCGAGTTATGCAACAGTTTCAAAAGTACGGACACGTTGCAAAAAATGGAATGATTTAAATGTCATAAAAATGTAAGTGGGAGGCAATTAATCCGAAATTGAAAAATTGGGAATATTTTAGGGGATTTGGGGGATTGCGGATGCAATTACGGATCGATTGGTTCGGTAATAATTTTTATGAGTTATCTGGACAAGTGTAAGCCTTTCCGGGAAAAGCGAATATCTAACAGGCGTGGTGCGTGTCGCAACTGTACTTTTGTCACCTACTGTACATGCATCTAGCATCCATTGATATTTTCGCGATCGTGTCCCCGCGGACTGCAAGTTGTAAATATAATTCATGAAATTCCTAAATCACGGCTTTGTTTCGATGTGCGATTAAGTATGAATGGAAAGAAAGGGAGCGATGAAAGCGACCTTCGGCGGTTGTTCCTTTCCATTGTACATCATGTAATCGTTAGAATCCGACTGCAAGTGCTTCTAGAGTATGTAAATGTATGTACTTCATCAACACTGTCACTCCATCGATCCACACACCGCTCTTTATGGTTATTAATATTATTATAATTGATAAGTAATTGTGCTTTACAATTCCCGTTGTGTCCAAATGCGCTGATCGGTCATAGTAGATAGCCTTTATAGGAATTGGAAACACATGTGTACATTTTATCTTAGATATAGGCCTTACATATGGGGTTCGGGTAGCGGGGGTGCGTTCGTATACACATACACACGCATCGGATGAATATTCTAAAAGAAACCGTTATCGTTTTCGTCGTTTTTACTTGTTCCTCTGTTATCAAAGTTTGACGTTACCCGGACTTCATACTGGACGTTCATAGTCGATCAGAGTACGTTATTAATGTATCAGAAACTGAAAAATGTTTTGCAGAGGATGTGGATTTTTATGTTTGTTGTATCATGTTGAGTTTACCTGTATAGATTTTTGTCCTCTAACTAATGCTACCTATCAAATATTGTCATTTAGCGCGCTGTTCTTTAAAAACCAGTTTTAAAATGTTGTTTTGAACAAATTAAGGAATAAAACAAAGACTATCCTATTTGAGGAATTTCATTTTTCTTACCTACAACTATGACACGACGACACACACATCAATCAAGAGGATTTGCTCTACAGTTCGTATGCTCGTGAAGAAAGCGACGCCGCTTTTCGAGTTTCATTTTTCCTTATTTTTGTTACGAACAGAGAATATTACATATCGTAGAAATCCAATTTACCCATCAGAGTTTTATAACTTTTTTTTTGTATTTTAAAAATGCATACAATTTTTTGGAGTTTCATCAAATTTTTATATGGCGGAATTTATGGCTTAGTATGGTGGAGAAGTTCTGATTTAATTTTGTTGATTTTATTTACTGTAGCACGAGAACCGTTTACTACCAACTTTGCTATCTTACACGTTGAACTTTATTCTTAAGCGGTAATCGTGTAGAAAAATTGCGTAAAAAAGCTGTAAAAGTACTCAAATTATTCTTGACATAAATTATATCATAAAAAATACGTATGTGCCCAGTTTCAGTGTTTATTTTGTGGAATATTAATTAACCTCAATCGAATAATAATAATTTTCATTTTTTTTTTTAATTCAAAATCTTGTATAGTTTGAAGAAAATTTTATGATTCTGTCACGCTGGGATACAAAAAAACGACGTATCTGTGGTTACGTTTTTTCATAGTTCGCGTGAATGTAAGCCTACAATATGGGATTTTTAATTCTTTTTGTGTAGTTAATTAATGTGCCCTTGAGTGAAATAATTGTGGTTTGAATTGAATTTTTAAGTTAAAAATATTTTAATTGATAAAAAACTGCTACATGTACGGTTACAAATTAAATTATTTTTAATTCTGTGTTGTTGATTATTATTAGCATAATTATTGTGGTTGTAAAAATCTTGGTACGGGCACGGTCCACTACGCCAAAAAAATATGGAAAACATTTTATAAAAATTTGAAAACAGATTTGGCAAAAACGTTTGCTCAGGTAAAAATTCAGATGTTTTCACTGGTATTAAAAAAAGTTATTTATTTAAGGTAGTCTTTTCTTTAGCGATTTAAGTATAGTGTAAGTATAGTGTTTCCAATGGATCTAAATTACGGTTACCGTACAACTGTATAAGAAATTAAAAAAAAAAAAGTCATCACAAAGGTACTGTGAAGTGTAAAAGTTGTTAAAATACATTATAGGCGGGATGACATTAATGTACATCACAATGTACATTTTTAACACTTGAAGAGAAAATTTATCCTTATTTTTGGAAGTCACGTATACAAAAATTACCAGGAATATGTCCGCAGTTATAACACTAAGAAGTAATTTAGTTTTTCTATTTTAATATATTTCTTTTAGTCTAAAAACATTTTTTATAAGTATACAGCGTGTTATTGAAAGGTACGTACAAAATAAAATCGGCAATTGGTCTCGAAGTATAGGTGCTAAAAGTTAAAAAAGTTCAGGTAAAAGTGTTCTCTTTTTAGAGATAAAAATTATTAAAATTTATATCCAAATTCGTTGTACGCCTCTGATAAAAAGATCATCTCTCGTTTCTATAGCAACATTTAGTCTTGATAACAGTTTTATTGTTACAGTTGCTAGGATATACTAAAATAAATTAATTTTACTAATTTAACCTTCAGTAGCGTCTAAAAAGGTTAGATAAGGGTTAATTTTCCGACTTCTTAGACTTCGCGAAGAACTGTCAATTTTGTTGTACGTACGTTTCAATAACACCCTGTAGAATTGGTGTTAGTATATAAGAGTGTTATCAGTTGTATACGAGCGTGAAGGTTGCCCACAACGTGAGGTGAGTTGTTTAATTGCACGAGTAGGATAATGCACCAGCCTACGTGTACCGAACAAAATGTTATCTATGAGTTCAAAACTTGTTTAAAACTAATTTAAATAATTGGAAAAGAATTATGTTTGTGTTAAAAATGTGTGTCATAATTTAACTTATCGTAGTTATTTGAGTTGATCATTACCTAGTTTCAATGAACAGAAAAGTGGGGCCTATCCCGTTGTGGCCTGTAAAATATATTAAGTAGCAAATTTTTATATCAAAAAGGCAACGATTTAATTTGTTTGCAGTAGAAAAACATGAAAATACTTTAAATATTTTGTCTGTAATCAATTAATCACAGTCAGGATTACTACCAAACTAGTGACCTAGAAATAAAAACTTAAATAATTTCGTTGTAGACACTTTTGAGATGACATCATCAACTTGTTGGTGAGGATGATGAGGTAAAATTTGGTTAGCGTTTTACCATCTACATGATATTCATAATATGCATACGAAATTTGACAAAAATCGGTCTAATACTTTTGGAGACTTTCAGTAGTTAATAAAAATCCGTACAGACAAATAGACAGACGGAAACGGGGGACCTATTTTTTCGTACCCTTGGCTCGATTTCTCGGGAAGTAAAAACTTGAGCTATCCAGTAAACTTTTTCTTTCCATGTTTTTGGTCGTAACTGTAATAAATACATTGATAACGCAGAAGTTATCAATGCATTTTTTGTCAAGATATTTAAATTCACGAATACTGAAAACTACTGCGTATTGGGATGGTTCAAATATCAAAAGAAGTTAATTAAAAGAAAATTCGGTATTGAAGTTTATGTATTTATTTTTTCTCACAATGAATTAATATCACGTAGTTATTTTGAATGAAAACAAAGAAACACTATTAGTTTTAGTGTAGAAAAACGTTCGAATTTTCTCGACATTTCGTAGTTTCAAGACCTCATATTTAAAAAATGACTGAAAAAATCTAGCAAAGGACTATTTGTTGTACCCCGTGTCGTTTTAAAGAGTTTGCAAAACACATAGTATTGTACAGTACAAGTGTCTAAAACAAAAATTATATTTCAAAAATATTTAGTTCGATGGTTACATTTTTTATTTTCGAATGTAATGATCTAAATGGTAACGAAGTTTTCATTCATTTCCAGAATTAGGGACGGAGCTAAATGCAAAATCCATATTTTTTAAAATTTACCATTTTAAACGTGTTTTAAGTTTCTATGAATAAAAAAATCATTACAATTGAGGTGGGGTGGTTGGCCGGGTTTTATATTTTGTTTTTTTCGTAATATACATAGTATTTTTTGAACAACACGATACTCAAAAACATGTTTTTAATTTCTTGTAAAGAAATAAGTATTTTGCAGTTAAGCTCTTGGTTCTCGGCGAATAAAAAAAATCATCACAATTGAGATAGGGCGGGTGGGCGGACTTACATTTTGCTGTTTTGTTTAATGTGTAGACTTCTTTTCACAACATGAAACTTAAAACATGTTTAAAATGGAAAATTTGTGTAAGAGCAATTAGGCTCCGCCCCATAATTGCAAAATCCATTACCATTTTAACCATGTTTTAAGTTTTTTGTTGTGAAAAGATGGCTATGTATATTAAGAAAAGAAAGGCAAAATATCTCCCGTTTCTGCTTTTGTTGTCAGTGTCAATTTTTATTAGACAAATGATCATCCAAACTGCCGGACCGATTGTTGTTAAATTTTATGTTTATGTTAGGAATATCGTCTAGATGGCAAAACGCTAATCATTCCCACGAACACTGGGATGACGTTGTCTCCAAAAACAATAAGTAGATTAATTTTTATTATATTTGTTGAGTTTTTACTATAGATGTGTACATGTTTGGGAAGAAATTCAAAGTTGTATATACCACATTTCACAATTTAACTTTGGAAGCGGAAAACCAAATGGTCCGAAATCTCACACGAGTTTTAAGATTCTCGTAAGCATGGTAAATTTTCAATGAAATTTTGCTGTATGCATCCTATATAAAATATGCGGTCTATTAATGTATTCATATTTTGTGTTTTTTAGAGGTTATCACAAAAAAAATTCGCTGAATCAAATTTTATAATTTTTCAGTGGAGCGGGATTTGTTGGACTGTAGCCCAGGGGCGAAGAAGGTTCTGTCCAAATAACTTTCGACTAATTTTTTAATACACGAGCTTATTAAAATTATTCTGACACCACAAAAAAAAAATTGGTCTAAAGAGTTTAGACAGTACTTCCCTCGCTGTCGGAAACTTGACGACTGCATGCCTATTGTGTTTTTTTTCTCATTACATTTTTGTGGTGGGAATTTAAAAAAAAATTGCGATGACGTCATCAACATTTTTGCAAGGACACGTATATCAGTTGGGATAGATGTAGTGCAATACTAAGAATAAAATTATTATATTCTCAAATTTTCGGGAAAATGAATTGGGTCGTTTGAATATTGATTTGTAATAATCAATAAAATAACGAAACAATTTACTCACGTATACTTACGTATCAGAGGCAACTAAAAATCGTGTATGTATAAACATTGTTAATTTAAGATGACAGGCGTAACAGCATACGTGAGAGCCAAACACAGAAACTGTAAACAAAACGACCGTCGGTTTTATTGCTTCGACTTCCGCTTATTATATAAAACATTGGGTTTTATTTTAATTCTTGACGGTGAAATTCACAATTGGTTGATTATAAACATGTCTATTTCGCATTCGCGGAACCAAGTGACCGCATAAAACAAATGCAGATCTGTAACGTTAAAGTCGATGTAAATAAGCGTGCTACCCTTATGTTTCAACCGAGTTTTTCCTTTAACAAATTTTGTGTCTACCAAATTGGGTTGGTTGGGGTGTAATACTAATAATAAGTGTTGCCTTTAATTTAATCAATAAAATAAATTGACTTCATTAATTTTTTTGAACCACCTCTTAAGAAAATCTAAAAAATATGAATGGAATGATAAATCACAAGTACAAACTCATCATATTTTTTGCATTTTAGATAGGATTTATTCAGCAAAATTTAAGGGTGACGTCATCAATTTTTTTAGGAGGGATGAACAAATACATTTTGAACAAAAGTTTACCATGCTTATAATAACTTTAAAATATTCCCAAGATTTCAAAGCATTCGGTTTTGTAATTCCTGATTAAATCGATAAAATAAATTCACGCCTTCATTAATTTTTTTCAGTCACCCTGCATATGCAAATCCAAAAATATGAA